AAAAATTGAAGACACCCATGAGTTCCACTAACAGAACGTTGGTGTCCACAGTCAGGAAGCGAACCACCCTGCCCAGTCAGCATCAGCAGACACCTTGGGGGACCTGAGGGACAGGTTTGAAATGAGACACCATGAAAGTGGAGTGGCCAAGGTGGCGGCAAACTCTAGGCAGAGCAAAGCAAGGCGCTTCAACCTGAAGAAGGAGGTCCTCAGGTGCCTGGGGCTTGCTTCTAACCATCTTACAGAGCATTTCTCAGAATGAAACACATTTACTCTCTGCAGCTTCAACGAGAACAACTAGAAGTCAGAGAGCTAAGGACAGCTTGTTCAGACCTGCTCTTCAGTGTCACGAACTGCGCCCTTTGGCAGTGAGCTGACACTGCCGCATACACGGGACGCTGCGTGCCCACCTGTCAGGGTGACGCAGGCAGAAACATCTGGGTTGTGGCCATCGGAACAGGCACAGCCAACAGTCCCTCCCAGCTTCAAGACTGCCCCGGAATGTTCTCCTCATCCAAGTACCTGTACGCTACGTCTACAGATTTGGAATAGCTCTACTAGACCCTCCTTTTCAAAGTCGTATTATTCTACATCAATTCCAGGGTCAGATTTAAAGGGCACCAACACAATTCAGGAGGAATCCCTTTCCAAAAGAACTAATCTTAACTAGTCTATAAATTGGGAATACGTGTTTAAAATGCATTGTCATTTTATTTGAAAGGCAGGAAAATGGGGGTGGGGAGTGCAGGGAGATCTTCGACCTGCAGGTTCACTCTCCAAATGCCTGCAACAGCCAGGGCCAGGGCAGGCTGAAGCCAGGAGCCTGCAACTCAGTCTGTTTCTCCCAAGTGGCTGGCAGCAGGGACCCAGGGAGTTACGCCACTATCAGCTGCCTCCCCAGATGTGCATTAGCAGGAAGCCTTACCTGAAGCAGACGAACTGGGGCTCACACCAAGCATCTTAAGCTGCTGTGCCCAGCACCTGCCCTGAGAATGATTTTTCAAAGCTTTCCAAATAAGCAGAAAACAAAGCCTTTCGGTACCACTTGGAAACTTCATTTTCTACTTGACAAAAGGGGAAGCAGGAGCAGCAGACCCAATCTACCTCTGACAGCAACCACTGCCGAAGCTTCTTATGCTTAAGAATCGCGCAGAATCCCTCGCCCCTTAGCGGCATCGTGTTTACCACACCCTCCTTTTCAAAACACAAGGCCTGCAGAAGCAACTGTTTGTTTAGCTTAGCGCTTGAGATACCGGTGTCCCGAGGCGGAGTGCCTGCTCTGGCTCTCGACTGCAGTTTGCTGCTGATGCACACCCTGGCAAGTGGCAGGTGATGGTTCTAGTCATGTGGTTTCTGCTACCCGTGGAGGGGACCTGGATAGTGTTCCTAGCTCGTGGCTCCTGCCGCAGCCCAGCCCTAGCTGTTGCAGGCATTTGGGTGACAGAACCAGCAACTGGGAGTTTGCTCGCTCTGTGTGTCTCAAATAATTAAAAAACTTATGAAACAGGGCAGCAGGGTTTGGTGCAGTGGTTGGGACACACCTAGGTTCCAATCCTAGCTCTGCTTCTGATTCCAGCTTCCTGCTGAAGTGCACCTAGGGAGGCAGGTGGGGGCTCAGGTGCTTGGCAGGGGGGGCTCTCGCATAGGAGACCTGCACTACATGTAGGGCTCAGGGCTCCCGGCCAGCCCTGGTTGGTGTGGGCCTTTGGGGAGTAAACCAGTGGATGCAAGAGCTCTCTGTGTCTGTGTTTCTCTCTTGCTGTCTCTACCTGTCAAATAAAAACAACCACAACAAAATATATAAGGCAAAATAAATAAATAAATAAATAAAAATAAAAAAACCAAAGCCTGGCACTGAAATTAACAAAAAGAATAAATAAATGCTTAAATTATCTTATTCTTTATAAAAATATCAAGACACATCTGTCCCAGAATCAAGCAAGAACTTCTCAACAACTGTCTCACGAGGGCTAATTAATTCTTCTTATGTATCAGTTAAATATAGATGGCAGCTCTTATTTAATGTGCTGCGAATCCACACGACTGGCAGAGCCCTAACATTTGACTGAAGAAACAGGAAGGAGCTTAGTACAGGTGGTCTTTCTCCCCCAGGTAGCTTGAGTTACATTTTTAGTAACTGACTTTAATGGTGCAAATACTTCAACGCAGAGAGATGCACACTTCCCGGGACCATTTTCTAAAACCAAAAATATGCCGCTGCGTCTAATTAAGGCCCTCCTAATTTGAGTGCCTCCCACTTGAGTACCAAGTTCGGGAGGAGACATACAAAATAGAAATAGAGCACGCGCTTCTTCTAGAGGATTGCCAACGTGCGATACCGTGAGATACGCAGGGCTGGGACATTTCATACATGCTCTCCACCACGTACCCCAACGTGGCAACTGAGACAGTGGGCTTTTTTATGGAAAAGTAGATAAAGGTGAGACATCAATAAAGCCAGGTAAGAGAGAAATGAGTACTCCCTCTCTGTGAGCTGGAATATTTAAATCTCTTTTCCTACGGTACAAAGAAAGACTCGCTCAATCATCAGTCCCAGGGAAGTTGCATTTTCTGGGAACAAAACCATGGAAACCAGGATCATCAAGGACACTTTCTTCATTGTGCCCAGAGGTCCACTCACCCACCTGATGAGCTATAAATAGGCTGAGAGGCTGATTATTAATAATGAGGCTGCTCAAAGTGATACTAACTCGTCGGTGACTCACATGGCTCTAGGAGTGGGTGCCACAGTGATTCCGCTCTGCAATGGGGACACTGAGGCTTAGGGAGGCTGAAAGCGCCCAGGTGTCGGAGGAGGGCGGTTGCAGCCACTGGACTGTGCCTCACTGGGGTTCCAGGGATGCAGCCTCCTGGTGTTCCTGGTGTGGGATGGTTATTAGCAAAAGGATCTAGCTTCATGCAGCAGGAACTCCAGAGGCCACGGAGCCGGTGGGAAATATCAATGAGTCAAGTGGGCCAGATGTGAACAGGGCGATGATAAATGGCAGAGAGGGACACTGAGTGACAGGGGCCTGGCGGCTTCCCAGACTGTGATGCCCTAGACGCAGGCGGCCACTTCTTCACACCCACCCTTGGTGCCCTGGGCGAAGTTCAGCCAAGCCTCGCCACATTTTTAGGTTTTCAAAAAGCCAAGAGGTAGGGAGAAACTCCCAGTACAAAATCTTTTTCCGTAAAAGTATTTGCTATTTTTTCCCCCCAAAAAACCAACATAAATTAATCTATCAACAGTATGTGGTCTCCCCCACCCCTGCCACCGGTCATTGAAGAAAGAGGTGGCCGTGACACTGGAATTCCAGGCCCAGCTGTTAAAACCCCTGGGGACATCGCAGCCCCTTCTCAGTGTTCCAACAGCCCCAGACTCCGTCAGCCAGCGATGCACACGCTGCCTGTAAATCTTCCAGACACATCTGGCCAGAGACACAGATGTTCCCCTCTCCTGAGACCCAGGCCAAGGAGCCAGAGGTAGGGGCAAAGGGTTCCTCTCTATGTAGTCACATTTTGCTTTCCACCAGGGGCCAATAAAACCAAACCTAACGACCCGAGCATTGTGTCTACGGCAAATCCAGCAGTGGAGCTGAAACTTGACCGAGTGAACAGAAACTGGACTAAGTCACCGAGTCTTGGTTTACACAAGGAAGTTTCGTGTTCGCTCTGGGCAAGGAACGGGCCTGTGGTCAACTTTTCCTTCCTGGATTGCTGTCGACTCCCCTAAGTCAACGAACAGCTGGTCCAGATCCAGGGTGACGGGGCTGCCCTTGGTGCCCAACTCAGAATCCTTAAAGGGATGTACTTTTCTTTTTGGGAAGAAGGACAACCAGACAAATAACAGGCATGGAATCTAAGAGACCAGGTAGGTAGAGCAGGGCAAGAAATTCGGCCCCATTCACAAACAACTCCTCATACTCCCCTCTCTGCACTTCTGAAAACTCCTTACAGACAAGAAAGGCTTAACGACAGACAAAACCCCTTGGTAGCAAGTCTCTGGCTTTTTACACTCCTTAACCTTTCTAGCAACCTTGTCCTTCCTGATAGAATACACACACCAAATGCAAGTGCCTAACACACCTGGCTTAGGTTTGAGTTTTGCAGGTATACATGCGAGCAGCAGGACTCAATGTTGAAACAGAGTAGCACCCTGCCATTCTCAGAACTTCACACATCCAATCTGTCTCCTGCCCCTCACCCAACTACAATCACAGAGGGGACAGCATCCCCGGTCCTCAAGCAGAACCAAATCAATTAAACAAAGGCAACCAAGCGAAACGCGGCCCAACTCGTTCATCCTCTGTACAGGGCTGACTGGCACGCTGAAGGCTTCGTTTTGGTTTTCCCATAATTACTCATTGCTTAAATAGCACGAGGCCTGGGTGGGGGAGTGTCCAGCCCAGCCTCCTCAGGTTCACATCCCAGAGTTCCACGGGAGAGATGTCCGTTCGCTGAAATGCCACATGGGCCATTTAACACTATCAGGAAGAAGGGGACGACGCAGAGCAGCGTTCAGAAATTCAGGCGTTGGAAGGAAAGACGGAACAGCACTTCCGAGGAAGCATCTGTTTGTTTGTAAAAGCAACCTTGACATAAAGTATGTACCATATACAGATATATCGGGATTCTTTTTTTCTAAAAATTTAAGCCAAAAAATAACTCCGCTCTACCACCCCCACCCCGCTGCTCATGTCAATGATGTAACTTCAGAGCCCTTCTCCGGCTTAGACTTTCGAAACCACATCGTGTTATCTAAACTTACCTCCAGTGATCTTCAATACAGAATGCACGGGCAAAAAAATGGGCAAACAACGGGCAAGAGAGACAACGAGGCCACCTTGAACAAGGCATGAGGCTGCTCAGACATTTGCACAGGAAGAGATCAATCCAACCTTGAGACCCCACTGTCAAGCTCCCCCGCACACCCTGCTCTTCAGGGAGCAGCCTGCACAGACTCAGGGCCAGCGGCGCCAGGGAGGGAAGCCAGCACTCACCTGTCTTTGTAGTTTATCACAGTATCGATGATCGCGTTCATCTGCTTCGTCAGTTTGGGGGGATTTGGGGAGAGCTTCTCAGCCGGAGGGCGGCCTCTTCTCTTCTTAGCTTTTTCCACATCTTCTTTTGCGGGATCTTTATCCACGTTTCTTCGTCTTTTTCGCTTTTTAAGCCGCACTTCCTCTTCCATTTCTTCCAAATTGCCGTCTTCAATGGCCTGTTAATCGGAGACAAAGGAGAAAATTCAAGGTAAGAAAATAACCAAGAAAATATATATATATGTACACACAGTTTTGAATAATTAAAATGGAATAAACAACAAAAAAAATCAAAGTTAACAGTAATCAGTGAAGGCAGAAGGAAAAAGGAAGGCTACCATATTGATGATAAATGCATCTTTAAACCAAGTGTGTTTCATGAGCAATACAGGCTGAGGGCCCAGAACAACCATGGTGAAGAAGAACACGACAAACATTAAAAGATCTGTACATGGAGGTGTCTGAAGATAACTGGATCCAAATGCAATCTGAGCTCGATGGGAGGAAAAAGAATCTAATTGTCTCCTTACTACAAGGGAGCAAAAGGTAAACAAAAAATGAGGGGTGGGTAAGGAAAACATCTCCCTAGGAATACAGCCACACAATCCAACAAGCTCTGACCTCCTCTTCGTTGAGGTTTTATATCAATGCATTCATGATGAACGACATAAATCAAAATCCCATCCAGATTTTGTTCTACCGTAGCAATTGCTAAACAGGGAAACTGGGAGGTACAAAGGCACATTCCTTGGTAAACGCACTTAAATCATCCGATAAAGAACACACACACACACACACACACACACAAAACAAACACTTTTTTCCAATTACCTGCAAACGCTTGCTTTAAACCAGAGCCAGCAGCACTAATGCAGAGAGATAATAAAATAGCTATAAAAAACAACCAGGTAGAAAAGAAACCTGCTCAGAAAGGGCTCAAAGATCCATGTGACAGACCCAGAAGTTTCAACTTTTTTTTTTTTTTCCTGATAGGACTCAAAACTTAAGAAGAAAAATAAAGGGGGGTGGGTGGGGAGATTGCAAAAGAAAAGAAAACAAAAAAACAGATAAAGGAGAATTTGATCATGGAGAAGAAATTTTCTTTAAAAAAAAAATAAAAGGTCTTTAAATTACATTTTGAGATTGCTTTCTCCCACAAAATAACTGATGTTGTTATTTGTTCGTCCAGTATGTAAATGCTAGTCAATCCTTTCTCGTAGCTCAAAGAGCTCTAATCATAAAGCAATTACCTTCATTTCTGTACAGCACCAAACATGGCTAATATTTATGATCATGTGAGTATAACAATCAATATAAAAAGTGATTACAGCTCAGACATAATTTCTTTCACTTATACACAATGCCTCCTGAAAAAGAAAGGTCTGGTGAAGAAAAACCTGCTAGAGAACACAAAACAACCTGGCATGTTAAAAATACCAATGGGATTTTAAAAAAAACCACACACAACAGGATTTCTATGCATCCTCCAACGTGCCAATCCACAGAAGCAACATGCACACAGACAGAATCCTAAGGGACGCTCTGAGCCTAGGCCTTAATAATGAAGACAATTTCCATCACGATCCTACAGTGTTCAGATCTGATGAGTTAGGAGGAAAAAGGGAAAAAAAAAAAAAAAGAGAAAAAAAGAAAAAGAGCTCCACATTATTGCATTAATATTCATTTGCTTAAAAAGCAGGACACCCACTATCCAGCTAAACACACTGCAGCTAAGCGAAAATGAAGACAAGGAAATTGTCCCGCATATCTTGGAGGCTGAACATGCTAATAATAAATACAGCATGCAGGCTTGTCAACAGTTAATGGTACTGCTGTCCTCCAGCATCCAACTGCACACAGAAACCCGGAGAACACCGGCTTCGGATGTGTTACACACCTACACATGCCTGGGCTGCAGTTCTACTGAATCTTCAAGACGGCAACGAAAAAGGATATTTACCTTACCACTATCAGCAGGCCGGCTATCGGAAATCACAGTTAGTGGGGATAAAATTAACAAGCCAGCAAAGCAGCGAGCTGCTAGTCTCTTCATCAGCTGATCAGGAAAAAAAAGAGAGCTGGGAAAGGCTATGTTTTCATATACAAGTAATTTTATTTTACTGAAAATTTAATACTGAAAGGATTGTGGATACTCAAATCTGCTGTTTCATTCTACCTACTACAAGGCCCGAAGCCTTCCTCCTTCAGCCTGTTTTAATATTGACAACTACTTATCATATTTTCCCCCCCTTATTATTCCAGGCAGCAGAATTAGAGATTTTAGCTCAGGTGGCTGCTGCTTGCTCTCACTTTAACAATTAAGCCAGTAGGAAAACAAATTAATATTCAAATTCATTTTTAAAAACTGAAACAAGGTATGTTGGGGTTTGGGGGGGTATCTTACACCTTATTTTAGTGCCTTTTTTTTTTTGGGAAAACAAGCAGCATAATCCTGGAGCAGTCTAATCTGATTTTTTAAATAGAAGACAATTTTTTTTTTTACCCCATTAAGTGCATGTCAGTGAAAGCAACGTGCAGGCTCTCAGGTTCAGGTATTTTAATACCATATGTTCTTCTTCTCTTTAAAGAAAATCCGAACAACTGGGACACTTCACTTTCAGTTTCACACTGTAAAATTTTCATTGTTTTTCTTTCCAGGGGGATAAATGAAGAGGGGGGCCTCGTGGAGACAATATTTCTGCTCTCACCCCTCCAGATTTGGAAAATAGGAACACAAAGCTTTAAGCTTGTGGTATGTGGAGTTTTTAAATCTCTAAATCTGTGAGTCGCTAAGAAGCGAAAACAAACTGAATTGCAAACACAAAAAACTAGGGAACAATTTTTATGACAATCGCTTCATACGTGCAGATTCTTATTAAATTTAGGTTCTGGAATGCCAAGGAAACACATCAAGTCCTGACCATTACTCCCCTTAAATTAAGGTTTTATGCAGGAATGCAGAGAGCTACAAAACATCTTCCCCTCCCCCCAAAGAAAAGACCCCAAACGCATCTCAGAGGCAGTGCTTAAGGTTCTGTGATTTCCAAGGGCCCCTTTTTTTGTCTTTTTTTTTTTTTTTTTTTTTGTAAAGGAAATCAACTCCACCAAATATCTCCCAATGCTTTTCGCACTTGAGAGTAGAGGAAGATCTCTCCTGCATGAAAGTACAATTATTCGTGGAGATTTTAAACTGGTCTTTTTTATTTTTTAAAAAAATTACTATTATTTTTAAAACTAGCTCAACTGCCTCAACTCAGCGGTGGAGGGGGGTGGGGGAAGGGGGGCACACACACACACAAAACTTGCTACACAAGGCTAAAGTACTACCCCCAGCAAGATTTCCCTTCCAAACCTTTTACCAGCACAATAATGAAATAAGTCACAGAAGCAAACCCCCAGTTTCCGACTGGTGACGTGTTGCGCAAGAGTAGGAGCCCTAATTCAACATACAGACGGCTCCCATGCTGAACTGCCTCTAGATTTAATGAAGTGAATAGGAAGGAAGTCGGGGGAAAAAAAGTGTACAAATAAGAAATTAACACTTTCCTTCCCTCCCGGAGCCGTCGACATACAACTACAGCGAAGTTTGGTGAGGCACCTCTTTCCTTAAAGGCACACTGCACCCATCGGGCTCCGGCTGCCACGGGGGAAGAAAAAAGAAAGGGAGAAAACCCAGCCCCGTCTGGAGATAAAAAGCCCCCGCCAAGTGAAAAGAGTTAAGCAGATTTCAGCCTGCGTTTTTTCCTGAATGAAGCTGGGAGTTACTCCTTCCTCCACTGGATGGCAACCTTTCCCCCGCCCCCACCATCCTCTCTCTCTCTCTCTCTCTCTCTCTCTCTCTCTCTCTCTCTCTCTCTCTCCCTCTCTCCCTCTCTGTCGTTCCTTTCTTTCAGTTGGGCTTAAAAGAACACAGGACGTGCAAGGAGGAGATGCAGCCCGGCTCCCTCTTCCATGGGCTCCTGAGACAGCAGCGTGTAGGTTCGGAAAAGCAAGCGCAGGCGCCGGTCGCGCGGGACGAGCTGCGTTAGGGCGAGCACTTTGCAGCTGGCGGAACACATGGCAGAGCCGGGGCTCGGCCACACGTGGCTCCGGGGGTGGCCCTCTGTCATCCTGACACACGCCGCCGCCTGGATCTGGTCCTGGATGGCTGGGCCCTGGACTCCCGCTGCTCGAGCCCGCTGTGCTACGCGACTCCGCGCCATCACGCGGCACGGCGGATCCAGGCTCAGGCATAGGTAAAGGGGGACGCGCGAACAAAAAGCCACCAGCCCGCTCCCGCGCAACGTTTCCACCTCTGCCAGTCCAGCGGGCGGCGCGGCGCGGCCCTCGCGGTGGCACGAACCATCCTCAGCAACCCTGAGAGGAGCGATTCCAAAGACGTGGAGACAATGCCTGGGAGCTGGGAAATTCACTATGCCAATAGTAACTGATATTTACATAATCGTGTGTCGGTCCACACACGCCATTCTCGCTTCCTCCCTGTAGGGGGCGTCCTAGGGACTCCAGCTGGATCCCAGGACAGGCCCGCCCCCCGCCCCCAAGGTGCTGCCGGGGGTGGGGTCGCAGAGCCACACCACTCCTGTCCCACCCGAGCCTTCTGAGGACAACTCGGGGCGCTAAGTGTGGCTCCAACATTCAGGGATGCCCAAAATAAGACGAGCACCAGCCACAACAGCAAAAAAAAAAAAAAAAAACCTAGAATTTTTAAGAAACTCAACGTTTTGTGTAGGAGCCCTTTCGTTAGCACAGCAATGGGAAGTGAAGGCAACACCATGGAACACGGGGCACTTCCTCAAAGATGGGTAACGTTGTGGGTCACGACCCTCCCGGAGAGCAGCCTGTTAGAAAGGTGTGCACCAAATCAAACTCCCTACAGTGAAATAAGCCCGACATTAAAAAAGACACTCCCTGGGACTCCATGTCTAGGGGAAAGGAGACCCACGGTTACCAGGCACCAAGGGGAAAGACAGCCATGAGCAGTTTGTCTTTCACAAGCAGAGTTGCAGCTCGGGAAGGTGAAAATGTTCTGGAGTTGGATGGGGGTGATGTGTGCCCAGCAGTGTGCAAATACTGAAAGCTGCTGCCAGGCACACTTCAAATGGTTAACAGCACCCTTTGTGTTACACGGGTTTACCACGAGAAAAAGCAATCAAGTTCTCTATAAAACCCCCAATACCCA